GTTATTTAATGCCGACAGCTTTTTTTTTCCTGGTAATATTGTTGTTTTGTCAAAAATCTATTTCTGACAATATTTTTTTCATAAAAAATGTATAGCTGGTAATATTATTTTAAAAATACATTGCTGGTAATTTTTTTTTCAAAAACGTATTACTGATAATAGTTTTTTTTTTACAAAGTATTTCTGGTATTAAAACCTATTTTTACACTTTCATAATGCTTCATACTTCAGTTTCGGGGTTAACTATTTGCCCATAGCTGGGACCCTAACAGGTGCTACCACGCCGGGTCGGGTTGGACCTGGCAACACCAGTAATTAAGAGGTGGTTGCATGCTCCTCAAATCCTCCTGATCAGAGGAGTTGCTGTTGGACGTAGTTTATCGTCTTACCCTGGACGCAGATGTAGTTTATACCAAAGACGCTCTAAACTTTGGGTACTTAATACTTTTAAATATAATATACATGTAAACCAGTGTTTCTCAAGCTTCTTTTTTTTTCTGGGCCGCATTTTCGGATCAAAAATTTGCTCACGGCTCACCAAATTTTATGTGATAAAAAGTATATTTAAAAACGAAAAAAAAAAAAAAACTGGAAAGAAGGTAAAAGGGAGATAACCACGGAATCAAAGTCAGAACATTATTATTGAAGACTCTCTCCTTCAATTTGCAGACCCTATTTACTATATTCTTAATTCTTGATATAATGCAAAAATATCACAATGATAAAATCAGTTAATAATTTCTTAGAACTATTTATACTCGGGCTTATGCTTACATTTACAAGTGATTTATAATAATATTTGAAATTTTGAAATCATATTTATTTTTGGCATATGAATATTTTGAAACTGTTTCTAAATCTTTGATTTTCTTTCAATCTTTCCGCCTCACCTGCTACACTCTTCCCACGCACCTGTAAGCTGCGACGCGCTGTTTATGAATCACTGATGAACACTAAATAAAAATCTTTTGCTTGCATGTCCGTCAGATGCAAAAAAAATGTCGGACCAGCGACCTTGTAGCTGGAGTAGGGATCGATGAAGTAGATCTGCTGTCTTCCTAGCCACCAGAAGCAGACCCGCAATTCACTTGATGCCTGTGGCTGCTACTGATATGTAAACATGGGGTCGACACAGCTGCTCCGAGGGTTTTTGGTCACTTGAAAAAAAAAAAAACTCGTATGATTGGTAGATAAATACACACCCACCGATCGAGAAAAGAGAAGCTCTTACGTCCTAGAGGGAATGAATCCACACACCCATTGGCCGACAGTGATTGACGGAGGTCAGAGTTGAATATCACCTAATGTTACGTACGAGGGGTTATGTTTCATGTTGCCGTTGGATTAAATCTTAATTGGATTGAGTGAATTCAGGATTATATGCAAGACTTGTACACAAGACCAGTACCTGGATCCTGCACGCCAGAATCTATGACACATCACACCACCCGAATCTATGACACATCACCCCCCTGAATCTATGACACATCACCCAACCGAATCTATAATACATCACCCACCGAATCTATGACACATCACCCAACCGAATCTATAATGCATCACCCACCGAATCTATGACATCACTCCCCGAATCTATGATACATCACCCCCAAACCCCGAATGTATGATACATCACTCACTTCGAATCTATGATACATCACACCCCCGAATTTATGATACATCACCCCGCCCCTATTCTATGATACATCACCACCAATCTATGATACATCACATCCCATCTATGATATATCACCCCGCCCCTAATCTATAATACATCACTCCCAATCTATGATACATCACACCCCATCTATGATACATCACACCCATGAATCTATGAGAAATCACCCTCCCCCGAATCTATGATACATCACCCCCAATCTCTGACACATCACACCCCATCTATGATACATCACCCTCCCCCGAATCTATGATACATCACCCCAATCTCTGATACATCACACCCCATATATGACACATCACCCTCCCACGAATCTATGATACAACACCACCAATCCCTGAGTTTATGATACATGACCCACACCGAATGTATGATACATCACACCCCGAATCTATGATACACTCCCTCCTCCGAATCTATAATCCATCACCCCCCAATCTATGATACATCACCCCTCCCCAATCTATGATACACCACCCCAATCTATTTTACATCCCCACGAATCGATAATACCTCAACCCACCCTCCGAATCTATAATACTTCACATCACCCTCCGAATCTATAATACTTCACCCCACCCCCCGTATCTAGGATCCCTCCACCTCCAAATCTATGATACATCCCTTCCCGCGAATCTATGATACATCACCCCTAATCTATGATACATCACATCCCATCTATGATACACCCACCGAATCTATGACACATCATCCTCCCTAATCTATGATACATCACCCCCAACCCCCAAATGTATGATACATCACCTACCCCCGAATGTATGATACATCACACCCCGAATCTATGATACACTCCCTCCTCCGAATCTATGATCCATCACCCCCCATCTATGATACACCACCCCTCCCCAATCTATGATACATCCCCCGAATCTATAATACATCACCCCCGCCCCGAATATGATACATCACTTTCCACGAATCTATGATACGGAGCCCTTACTTAACAACATCTCAATTTTCATAACGCAGTATTTATACAAAATACAATTTTATCGTAACAAAATTGTGGACAATAACGGATTCTGTACAAAATAGGTGAACAGTTCAACTAAAAAAATTGAAAATAAATATAATGTACAAATTAGAGACATGTCATAATAGATCGTTCCTTCTTAAATAAATCATCAATGTTTTGCAACAATTTCTAACATCAATTTTTCTTGAAGAATTTTAATACATTCAGCATTTGTGGATAAAGATTATTGAAATTTTTGTAGTGTTTTTTTTTTTCGGGACTCAGCAAAACAAAATCACGTATTTGGATAAAAAAAACAAAATGACGACAAAATCTACGAAAATTTGTCATCCTTTAATAGTCAGTTGTGTTTATAACGTATATAGATATAGGTAAAAAAAAAATCAAATATTGATAAGATAGTAAGGGCCACAATTATTGTCCAGAGTCTACTATCAGGTTTGGGCTACCAACAGGAAATTCGGAGGTAGTACTCGCCGGCCCTGCTTGAGCCTCTAAAACAGCGTTTCTCAACCTGTTTACTTTTACGTAACGCTTAAAATAAATTATATGTCTCAAAGAACCCCCGCGCAAAAACAAAATTATATACCATACCTTTCTCATTTCATTTCCATCGTAGTTCACGTGGTAAATATCATAGTATATATTTATGAATAACTGCTTTAAGGAAAATTTAATACTTCATTGTCAAATTTTTCGGTAATGTTAAATAAAGTTCATACTGTTCATTTATAATACGTCATCAGGGAGTTTTCCTTACATAATAGGTTAGATAGGATGATGTCTATATTATAATATTGCAATGACCAAGAATATATTGGGTGTGTTTAGTAATTTTACGTATATGAAATTAAATAAAAAGTCAAAATTGCATTAGCTCAGGGCTTTTCAAACAAAGGACAAAAGAGGGAGTCCGTAGACAGCAAACACCTTTTTGTGGGTGACGTGCAACTTATAAGCGCTTATAAGTAACTTATAGGCCGATCATGAAATAAATTGGTTCAATAAACTATTTCATAGATTTGATATACTAATATAATTTGTATCTTAAATTGATAAAGATAATGGATTCTATTCATGCAGAGAAAAAACCAAAGGATTTGAATTTTGGATCTATTTTGCGATTTCCGGCTTTCTCATTGGCTGTTAGGTGTTTGCATTAATACAAAATTATATGTTATATTCAGCAAATATTTATATATAAATTTCATAAGCGTTTATAAGGGGGCCCCTAAGGTAAAGCCTGAAATATAAAGGGGTCCGCTATTCAAAAAGTTTAAAAACCCCTGCATAGATAAGCTAATGATTAGTTTATCTCACCTGTTCTCGCGGAACCCCTGAGAACCCGGTTGAGAAACGCAGGTCTAGAATATAAAAATACTAGCAAATAGCATATAAAAATATATTAAATATTAACCCGAGAAAATCGGTCTAACGACAAGAAACTGCGTCTGTCTGGATTCCCAGCTTTCATTATCCAACTAAAAACAAAAGACATTCTGAAAAATATGTGTCGAGTTTTAAAACAAAGAATTTTGGAATTAAATGTTATTTATTAGAATTTATTTAAAAAGATATTTCATTGAATATTTTAGAAATAAAATTTAAATTTCAAAAAGGTAATATTTACATAAACCTTCATGACGTCTTTATAAATAAGAAGTGAAAGTTTCTCATTGGCCGAAATCGTAGTCAGGTGATAAGCTTTTGCTGGTCTTTCAACATGCGCAAAAAAGTGGGCGTTGGGCGCCATTTTGTGACGTCAAACATATTAAGAAGATTCGTCTGCTTATCTCGGGTTTTATGTCAAAAGGAAATTTTTGCGGGTTTGCTAAGTAATTTTCGCTTTTTTTTTTTTTTCTAAACAAACAAAACAAACAAAAACTTATCACCATATTTTAATTTTGTTTTCTTGTTTTCGATTATAGCTAGACATTTTTCCCGGGTATTACGTAGAGATAAACAGCGTCAAGCTTTTTGCGGCTTCCTTTTCGTGACGATCGTTTCTCTTATCATATTTATGCCTTCGTCAATTTCTTCGTTCCATCTCTCTTCTTTCTGTCGATTATTCCCACTATATGACACAGTGTTTTCATTATTTAATCATTTATTTATTCATTCTACCAGACTTTCTTTTCTCGTTAATTTTTAGCTTCACTCCTTTCTCACTTTGTTTCTTCATGTTTTTCTTTTTCTTTATTGCTACTTTTAAGTTATTCATCCATCTTGTTTTTTTCTTTATGTGTTTTCATTGATGCTTTCTAATATATATATATATATATATATATAAATTATATTTTTCTTTCTTTTCTTTCTTCTGTTTAGGATTTCCTTTTCCGTCTTTGTTGGTCTTTAATTTTTTTTGTTTTCTTTGTCTTTCATTTACTTTAATTGTTTATTTCTTCTTTCCTTTCTTTTTCTTTTTTCCTAATTTTATCCCTATTTACTCTTGTATCTTTCTTTCTTTCTTTCTTACTTTTCCGCTTTTCTATTTATATTTTTAACCATGATTTTTTTTCCTTGGTTGTTTCTTTCTTTTGGATTCTTCCCTTCTTTCTTTCTTTCTTTCTTTCTTTCTTTCTTTCTTCCAATTAGTCTGTTCATATTTTAATGTTAACTACATTTTTTCTTGGCCTTTTCACTCTTGGTGATTTCGTTTTAATTTTTCTTCTTTTTTTTCTTTTCATTTTATTTGAATTTTAAGATAATTTTTCTTTTTCCTTCCTTCCTTCCTTCCTTCCTTTTTTTCCGTTTATAATTTAATGTTAACCACATTTCGTCCCTGGGTGTTTCCTTCTTTTCGATTTCATCTTTATTTTTTCTTTCTTTCTTTTCGTTTATATTTGAATTTTAATCTTAATTTTCTTTTTTTTTCTTCTTTCCATTATTTCTTTCTTTCTTTCTTTCTTTCTTTCTATCTTTTTCCGTTTATATTTGAATGTTAACAATCATTTTGCCTTCTTCATTTCTCTCTTTTGAATTTCGTCTTTCTTTTTCCTTCCTTCTTTCCTTCCTTCCTTCCTTCCTACATTCATTCATTCATTCATTTGTTTTTTCTGTTTATATTCTAATATTAACCATAATTTTTCCTTTTTGATTAAGATTTTCATTCTTTCTTTCTTTTCGTTTTTATTTGAATTTTAACTTAACTTCTTTCTTTCTTTCTTTCTTTCTTTCTTTTCTGTCTTTCTTTCTTTTCCTACTCTATCTTTCTATGTATGTTTTCTTTTTTTTGCTTTAGGCCACACCCATTCTTTCTTTTTTCCGTTCTTTCTTTCTTTCTTTCTTTCTTTTGTATCTTTCTTTCTTTCTTTCTTTCTTTCTTTCTTTCTTTGTCTATATTTGAATATTAACAATCCCTGTCCGTTTCTCTCTCTTGAATTTCGTCTTGTATCTTTAATATTTTTCCTTTGTTTTCTATTTCATTACTTTTCCTCTTTTTTGTTTTGTTTCCTTCTTTTTTTCTTCTTTTCATTCATTTTTTTCTCTCCCTCTTTTCTTGCTTTCTCTTGTTTTCAATTCATTGTCTTTTTCTTCAAAAATTTTTCTTACCCTATTTCTTTCTTCATTATTTTTTTGTTTCGGTTATTTTTTTCACTTTTATTTCCTTTTCTTGTTTTCTATCCTTTTTCTCCTTCTTTCTTTCTTTTTTTCGTTCATTCCCTTCAGTTTCTCTTTCCCTTTTTTCTTCGTTTCTTTAGTCTTCTATTATTTTTTTCTATTGATTCCTTTCTTTTTTTATTTTTGTTTTTCTTCATTTTTTTTTTCATTCTTTTTTCTTTATGTTTTGTTTTCCGTTCTATTACATTTTTTTCCTTCTTCTTCATTCATTTTCTTTTTTTTTTTTCTTTTCTTCTTGTCTTTTTGTTTCGTTCATTTTCATTTAGTTTTTGTTTCCGCTCCATTTGTTTTTCTTGCTATCGTTTGTTTTCTTTTCTTTTTTTTCTTTTACTTCATTTATTTTCTTTCTCTTTTTTTCTTATTTCGTTTTTCGTTTTCCCTCTTTTTTTTTCGTTTCGTTTCTCCATTTACATCTGCCATGTTATTCTTATCATGTTTCTTTTCGTTATTTTAACGTTCCTTTCTTCTTTCTTCCATTTGTCTTCTATTCTAAGATCATTTTGTAATTTGTTTTATTTCTATCTCTCATTACATTCCTTTCTCCCTGGCTACTTTCTGCATCTTCCTTGCTTAGTCATTATTCTTTAATTCTTCTCTTGTTATTGCCAAATTACTTTCCATCCTTACGTTGTTCTTTATTTTGCGCCTTCCATTCTTCGTCTATTTAGTTATCGTTCCTTCTTACTTTTCTTCTTTCATCCATTCTTCTTTACCTAATTTTAATTCTGTCATTTTTATTCTTCCTTTTCTCCGTATCGTCTTTTTCTTTCTTTCTTGTCATTCTCATTTTTCTTTTTACTTTTTCTATCTATCTCAACTTTCCGACATTCATTTCTTTTCTTCCTTCGTAGATTAATTCTTTCTTTTCTGCCTCACACCTTCGTTTTTCATTACTTTGGTTCTTGCTATTTTTTCTTTCATTCTTTCTTTTCTCCTTCGTTCATAGTACAGCTGTTATTTTGGGGGCTTTCTTTCCGTCTCCTTTCTTTAATTTCCCTTCCATCTTTCATTTGTTCTGTCCTTGTCTCTTCTGACAAGTCGGGTTCTCGTTCCCTCATTCTGCCTATTGTCTTTTTCTTTCTTTCTTTCTTTCTTTCTTTCTTGTTATTTTTGCTCCATCTCTTTTCTTTTTTTCCTTGTCTTTTTTATTTTCTTTCTTTCTTTCTTTCTTGTTATTTTTGCTCCATCTCTTTTCTTTTTTTCCTTGTCTTTTTTATTTTCTTTCTTTCTTTCTTTTTTTCTTTCTTTCTTTCTTTGCCCTTTCTTGTTATTTTTGCTCCATCTCTTTTCTTTCTTTTCTTTTTCTTTCTTTCTTTCTTTCTTTCTTTCTTTCTTTCTTTTCTCCTCTTTTCATAGTTCACCTGTTATTTTAGGGACATTTTTTCCGTTTCCTTTCCTTAATTTACTTCCATCTTCCATTCGTCCTGTTCTTGTCTCTTCTGATAAGTCGGATTGTCAGTCCCTGAATCTGCCTATTCTCTCCTCTGTCCTTCTTGTTTTTACGTTTTCTCTTTTTCTTTCCTTTTTTTCTTTCTTTCTTTCTTTGTTTTTCCTTTCTTTCTTTGTTTTTTCTTTCTTTCTTTCTTTCTTTCTTTTAAACTGCTGTTTTATTTCTTATTTTCTTTCTTCTTCATTTTCTCTCGTACACCTTCATTTTATCTATCTTCTTTTGCCTTTCTCTTCTTTCTTTCTTTCTTTCTTTCTTTCTTAGTTGCATTCTTTTTTCTTTCTTTCGGTTTTCTTTCTTTCTTTCTTTCTTTCTTACTTTCCTTTTTCTTTCTTTCGTGATTTCTTTCTTTTTTCTTTCTTTCTTTTCTCTTTCGTAGTGTTTTTCTTTCTTTCTGTCTGTCTGTCTTCTTTTCTTTCTTCCTTGTTTCTTTCTTTCTTTCTTTCTGTCAGTCATTCGTTCTTTCACAGTTTCTTTCTTTCTCTCCATTATTCATGTATTCCTTAATTCAATTGTGTCTATCGAACTTATTCCATTATAACCTTCTGTCCTTTTTATCCTTGCTTCCATCATTCTTTCTTTCTTTTGTACTTTCTTTCTTTCCTTCTTAGCTTCTTTCTTTCTGTCTTCGTTTCGTAGTTTCTTTCTTTCTATAATTTTCTTTGTTTTCTTACTTTGCTTTCTTACTTTCTTTCCTAGTTTCTTTCATAGTTTCTTTCGTTCTATCTTTCTCTCTTTCTCTCTTTCTCTCTCTTTCTTTCTTTCCATTATTCATGTCTTCCTTACTTCCTTTGTGTCTAGCTTATTCCACTCCGTCCTTCATGCTTTCCTTTATATTTTTCTCTATTCTTTTTCATCCTTGTTTCATCATTATTACATTCGATCAGTTTTTCCTTCCCATCATTCGTGTTTTCTTTTTTCATACATTCCTTTCGTCTGTGCCTGCTAATATGAATTAAGTTTAAGCGACTAATGGTTTCTTTCTTTTGCTTTCAGATTTGGCAATTTCAACTATGGAAAAATTAACAATCAAACATTGTGTTAAAGTTTCAAGAGTGCAATTGGAAAAAGTTATTCATAAATTCCAACAATCTGTGTCGGTGGCAGATACGCAAACACCACTGCTTGATCGTTCAGCTGAAAACATTACCGCAGTGTACGAAAAATGTTGCCGAAAATCCAGACCCCTCTAGTTGCCGAAGCAAGGATATTTCCCATCCGCCCCATGCTGTCAGATGTGGCACAAGGCCGAATTAACGTGGGGTATTCGATCCCGTAGGATCGGGCAAAAATTCCCCGTTGACTCCATAAAAAACGGGGTCGGGTAGCTGTCTACCACCCCAGACGAGACTCTGCCCTTCGGCATTGCATCGTCTAGGTTCTTCTCCGTTCGAAGGCAGAGAGTTCGACCAACTTAGCTGAAAACGAATCTCAAACTATGTCTAGATTAATCAATGAAACATGCTTGAGTAGAGATATGCTGTCTTTCTCTCTCTCTCTCTCTCTCTATATATATATATATATATATATAAACGTAGGAAAAATATTCTTCAGACTTATACACAAACACTTCCCGGAATCAAGCACTCTACAAAAATATTCAACAAAACACACAGTAAAAATCAGCTACTGTTGCACAGAGAACATGGCACAAATAATAAAAAAAAAAAGCACAACAGGAAATCTATCAACAAAACGCCCGAACAAATTAAACACACGTGTAACTGCAGAATGAAGAATGAATGACCCTTATATCATAATTGCTTAGTAATCAACGTACTATAACAAGCCACAGTAAAATCACCGGATAATGAAGAAAAAGTATACATAGGAGTAACTGAAAGACCCTGGAAACAATCAAACTATGCACACAAAACAAAAGAGATAATCATTGACCGGTTCGTGGCCTATGATCAATCCCAGACGCGACGTCAGCGACCTGGCGAGACACTAGACATATTTTGGGCCGAATTAAAGAAGCTTGCTGTACCGATCGAAACGCTTTCTGAAGAATGGAGGATCTGTGACTTCGTGTCTGGATTACCTACTCATGTTAAGCAGTTATTCTGCGCATTTTCCAGAATGCAAGACATGACGCTCAACCAGTTGTTGACCAGAGCCCGCGGTATCATGATCGACGAGAAAGAGGCTGATGAACTAGTGGCCGCAGTCGTTCAACGAACTGATGTTATTGAGGATCCGACCCCAGCCCTCCCTCGCTATGGCGATGTCATCTGGTATCTGTGCTCTCGGCACAGTCATTTTGCGAAAGACTGGCGTTAACAACGCGACGAATACGCGGCGGGTCGACGCGAAAGGCACGTCCCGATCTACGATGCTTTCAATGTCATAAAGTAGGTCACATTGCATCTAGGTGTCATGGAAATAGAATGGAGGACGTGACATCAGCGCCGATCTCTTCTCCGCACCGAGTATGAAAGAGGCGCTCCCTGTGTTTAAGGTGTGCATCAATTAATAACGCGTAAAGCTTTAGTAGATTCAGGTTGCTCTCTGTCACTCACGAATGGATCGATTTGTCGGCAAGTGGAGCAGAAAAAAGATGGACGTACTTATGGCTGATGGAAAAGATCTCAAGAACCGAGGTGTCGGAAATATCAAACACAGTATCAACAAATTTGTCCCAATCAAAGTCAGTGTGTTGGGCGTGGACAGCACGTTATTAAATTTTGACATGCTCCTTGGGATGGAAATTATTAGGGAACTAGGCGGAATAGGCATCACAGAGGTGGGCAAAGTCATGTTTTCTAACCCGCATCTGTGTTGCTTTGAAGATCAACGGGCCCGACTTTAGCGCAGAGTTTGACCAAAGGACGAAGACATGGACAGCATTGTGGAAATGGTCGGAAAATAACCGAACAGAGAAGCTCCGGACCGACTGTAAGAGTACTCGGTGTCCGAATGCGTCAAGGAAGAATACCAGCGAGAATTGCAGGATTGGCTGGACAATGGATGGCTGACTCCGTATCCTGAGGAAGAGCTTGGTCCTCCAAGAGGCCTCATCCCGTTGATGGCCGTGGTACAGAAGAACAAGGGAAAGGTACGCCCCGTTCTAGATTATAGAGAACTGAATGAACATGTAAACGGCTCATGCAGATGTGTGCGCACAAAATTGAGAGAAGGGCGAAGGAAGGTATCCAATATCTCTGTGATTGCATGTACGCGTGCACTGGTCACTGTGGCCATTTCAGACGCTGTTCCTTAACGGGAGGAGATACTGCCTAACGCGAATGTGAGTTGAGCTCAATGGGGCGCTGGACATCATAAAAGCCATCGTGGATGCTGTGCTATCGAAGGATGAGACAATTCATCAAGCGACGTCAGCTTACATGGACGGCGTCTACACCAACGAAAAACCTTAGTGCCCACGTTCTGGATTCTTACGACTGGAGGACGATGCTCGTGTGCTCGGCTTGCAGGTCTGGGGGAGAAGAACGTGCTTTACTGGAAACGTGGAAACAAGCTCCCAGACATTTCCAGACACATAATACGGCGCAGTGTGTTCTCGTTATGGGGAAAATTGGTGGGACATTTTCCTGTGGGCGTTTGGATCCGCATTGCAAGAGCCTTTATCAAACGTAGGGTGATTGCTGTCACTTCCGGCTGGGATGACAAAACAAATGATCCTCCCCTTAGAGATATGATAACGGAAGTCATTACCAGGATGTGTCAAGACGACCCCGTACGTGGTAAATGGTGCGTTGACGGATGTGAATTTGACGTCTGAATCGACGCGAGCTATCTTGCAACAGAACAGTGGCCATAGAATGCAAGGGGTGTCAGTCCATCGACCCAGCATCTGTTCAATGGCCAATGTGAGCAAAGTGTAGTACCGTTTTGGAATGAATATCACGCACCATAATGGAACTCACTCTCTAACCCTGATTAACTGTGGTCCAACCCAGTTCATTATTGGGGCCAAATTGTTAAGTCAGAGCGAATAACTGAATTTAAATGAAAAACATACCACTTTAAGGCTCTATTGTAATAATTTATTTCACCAGAGACTTTTATTTTTCTCTGGATCTTCAGACTTCACTTTCAAAGTTGAAACGAAAAATGAATTTAAAATTTACAATTTTGACGGGCAGTATTAAGCTTAAATGGGATTTTTTTTAAGTGAGTAATCCGGTGTAAATCTGTTTTTCATTTAAATTAAATTATTCCCTCTGACTTAACATTATGCTCTCAGGATTTCATCCTCCTTTGGATTATCCATAAAGATTACCAACATTTCCGTTACTTAACTATTAGCTCTTTATACAAATAAGTAGAGCTTTTATTGGATTACCTCCCATCGGATTACCGTAAGGATCCACACTTTCAACAAAAAATGAATGGATTTGCACCCGATTACTCACTTAAAAACATCTCTTATAAGCTGTCAAAAGTGTCAATTTTAAATTCATTTTTCGATTTACCTTTTGAAAGTGAAGTCGGAAGATCCAAAGAAAAATGTAATTCACTGGTGAAATAAATTATTACAATGAAGCCTTTGAAGTGGTCTGTTTTTAATTTAAATTAAATTATTCGATCTGACTTAACATTGAGCTCTTAGGATTTCATCCGCCTTGGGATTATCCATACGGATTAATAAGATTTTAGTTACTTTATATATATATATATATATATATATATATATATATGTGTGAAAAGTGAAATATAAATATAAATAAATATATATATATGTATAATTATTTATATATTATATATGCGGTACTTATTAGAGAGCGCTCAATATCAGAGATAGAGCTAACATATTTGGTTGGATAGATGTGAGTTTGTGACCTGGGTTTCACGCTTTAGCGATCGTCAGACAAACCCTGACGATCGCCAAAGCGTGGATCCCAGGGTCACAAACTCACATCTATCCAACCATATATATATATATATATATATATATATATATATATATATATATATATAGTGGATTCTCCTGTCGCTTTCGACGTATATAGAGTCAAGGAGCTCAGTTCCGAGGAACGGACAGCCCAGACACCAGCACATATGATTTTATTATGACTGTGAAGGTTTTGTGCAGAACAAACTACACATCTATAGAACCAAGTCTTTCCTGCTATTTACCCATAGCTGGAGGGAGAACAAGAGGATTCATACCTTTCCCAAGGTTATTAGCCCGTAAGTGGATGTGATGGATTCGACTGGAATTCGAACTCAGCTGTCCGATTTCTCAAAACAAGCCACTATCCATAATTTTACCTGGACTATAAATGTAGATTTATTAGGCTGATTAATGAAATTCGAGAAATAAAAAAGAGCAAAATAATAAGAATATTATCAATCAAACTAAAAATATTTATTCGCTATTAGTTAGGCTTGCTTTTTGTGTTCAGTCTATATATATATATATATATATATTAAATAAAAAAACGCTGACTGGAAAAAATAAAATAAAACGCTGAGCAGAAAACAACTGCGGCTTCGACCGCTAAGATCTCGTCAGGGAATTTGTTCAACGAATCAATTCAGAATTTTAATATTTTTAAGATATTGAATCCCTCTGCAAGGTTGGTTTTTCGACTTTAAATTGAACACTATTTAAGGTCTACGATTTTAACAAATATTTCATTATTTGTTTATTTCGAATATATATATATATATATATATATATATATATATATATATATATATATATATATATATATATAAATTCCCAGATGAATTCCTATAAAATGACAATTGGAAAAAAAATCTTCGATTTTGCCGACGCGTTTCGTCTTCCGACTTTTTCAAGGCAAAAATTAAATCGACAACAAAAACATTTCGATTTCATTTTTGCCTTACGGAAGACGAAACGCGTCGGCAAAATCTAACATTTTTTTCCAATTGTCATTTCATATATATATATATATATATAGGTTAAGATGGATAAATTATCGTCTAAATTGGGCAAAAATAAAAATAACACTG